GCCATAGTCTAATTTTGTCAAACGATAATTTCTGTTAAAAGTAGAGAAAATAGTGATGCTTGTGTGAAGCGGGCAACAGATTTTCTTACTTTCACTTAGTCATCTTTTTTCTCTCATTCACCGCTTACTGACACCAGGATATGAACCAGTAATCTTACATTGGAAATTGAATAGCTGTAACTTCGTTAATAGTTGTCCAAAATGAACGATTTTTATATAGTTTCGTAGGAAATTTCATTACCTTTCAAAAAAAAAAAAAAAAAACATGTTAAAAGGGGACGTTGAAACGTCCTCAGTTACTGGAACGTTCAGTAGTTCCCGAGAAAATCTTGGCATAGACAGACAGAGAGACCAATGGCTAAAAACGTGTTTTTTGGACTCAGGGGGCTCTGAAACGTATAGATCCGTCGAAAACCGCATATCGGAAATTTTACCCGATCGCAATACTTCCCTTACCTAGTATAGGTAGGAAAGTAAAAAAAATAGAACACCGCCTACTCAACTTTCATACATCAAAAGTCCTCATTCTATTCAGATTCCTCACTTCTTCACAAAATTTTGTGGACATCAACACCAAAAGAAGATGTTTTATTAATTTATTATTATTATTATTTATATGATATTTACAACTGTATTAAAAAAAATACATCTAGTAAATTCGTACATGGATATAATGACATGAAACACATGTTGAGAAACTACCCATTGGTAGCAATCTAAGTTTTATTAATTTAAATTTGACATATTAAACTTAATGCTTAATTATTTTCTTTTAATATTTAACGATTTTTTAAAACATATGAACCATTATAACTTATAATCTCAATGCTTTTGATTTCCTGTTAAAATAAATTCGAGGTTTATGTAAGGTACATACTAACACGTTTTATCAAGAGATATCCTGCTGTCATTTAATATTTGAATGATGGGACTAGGCTTCTCAAGAAATTAGTGAACGGCCGTTATATAGAGGTTTCATCAATAATTCCAATTACTTCCGAGGTAAATTATCGATAACCCACCTATTCCGAAAATTCAGTTTGTTAAATTCAAATTATTTCATGGTTGATTTTTTTTCTATAGCTATGACAGTATATAATACGTTTATCATTAAAATTGAATTTCTATATACAAATGTATCTCTTTAAAAATGCGGAGTGGTAAATATATTAATTGGTCTTAAAATTCTGGATTTCGAAAAAGAAAATTACTTCATTCGAAAATTTTTATTCTACAAAAAAAGTCTAATTATAGTTAGAAACTGTAAATGGTAAATGATTATTGTTTTTAAAGAACTTTACTCTTTTAAAAGCAGATCGTCCATGGACCAAACCTCCGGGTGGCTATTTGACTTTCTGGAATATCAAAACCGGATTCCTGATTAATGTAATTATTAGAGTCATCAATTTTATGCTATGTCGTTAGGAGTTTTCCCCCTCTCCCCTCCCTCTGGGCTCACTGCCCTCATATAACTCGAGGGGGAGAAGTGGGGTGGCTTTTCGTTATGATTATTTACCCATTTCTTGCAGATATCCTTCCATTCAGAGGTGCCCAGAAGGGGGTGTACTGAATCCATAATAAAATTTGAGGAGGCACATTTGTCCAGAGTTATCAATTTTTGAGGGGACACATATTCACAGAGTTAAAAATTTTCGAGGAGACACATTTTTACGAAGTTATGAATTGTTGGAGAAAACCATATTTTTGTGTGGCTTCAATTTGGAGTCCTTTTCAAACCAGAGAAAAAAGGAAAACATGATATTGAACCCAGCTGGAGTATTCGTATTAAAATTGTAATTTTTATATTTTTTACTTTCACATTTATCATACCAGACTGAAACGGCAAGAAACCGCTCGATGTTTCCGATTACTTCACCACTTACTTGACAAACGCTATAAAATTCCAATTAATTACAAAAGACTCATATACATGACTATAATAAGACCTATTTGGACTTATGAAGTTGAGCTATGGGGATCCATCCAAACTATCCATAATGACCTTTGTGTTTCAGATCTGGCACAATCCAGATACCTATCCCTCCATAATAAAATTTAGAATCATCCCAACCATCTCGTTTGTAACCTTGCTTCCTCTTCAATTACTGATAACCCTCCGAGGCGTCTGAAAAGAAGATGGCCCCGTGATCTCCTAATGTAAACATATCATTACAGTGCTACCATTGGGTAGTTTTTCAGCAAGTGTTTTCACGTCATTATGTGCATATGTTCAAATTTACTAAATGTATTTCTTTAATACAGTTGTAAATATCATTAAGAAATGAAAAAAACTTTCACATTTACCCATTTACCGTTTTTTAGAAGAGGAGTACAATAAAATTTCTTGGGAGAGGACGTGTGCCATCGTTCTTAGAGAGTACACCACAGCTTTTATTTACATGATTTTTTTTTGTTTATTTTATTTATTGAATAATAATACATTCTGCCACACCCGAGGGCAATACCTGATTAATAGAGTAATAAAAATTTTGTTAGGTAACCATGAACTTATTAGTGAAGAAATTGTTGACCGTCAGAATAAATGCAAGAGAAGATGTTTGCATAGGGGAGGGAGTATGTGTAGCAGTGGAAAAACTCACAAATTAGAAAATTGATATTTACCCGAGCCAGATACCTATGCTTTCATGATAAACTCCAGTCCTATCCGAATCCACTTCTTTCCAGCCTTGCTTCTTCCTTGATTCCTAATAATCCCCCTGAAATAAGATGGCCTCGTGATCTTCTCACCTAGAATTAAATAGGGAGTACTACCCCATGGGCAGTACCTCTTCAAGTCTGTTCATGTCATGATTTCTAATGTGTGCATTTTACTAGTGGTATTGTTTATACAGTTGTAAATTTCATTAAATAAATAAATACATTAATTTGTACCGACAATGTTAACTAAATTTAAGGTCTTCGACAGGGTCAGCTTATTTTTCTTTAAATATTTTTTATCAATTAGGAGGTTCAAACAGAAGTAATTTCATTAAATTTAAAGGGGCGACCATCTTTCAATCCTTTTTGTTTAAGGGGCTTTTTGATTAAATGTACATTTCAACTGCAACAACACCTAAATTAATTATTTTCCCCTGCTTTATAGTGAATTAAAAACGTTGAATGCGACCAATAATTGAACACGTACAATTGTTAAAGTCACACTTAACGATTACAGTCAACAACTGGCTTGTACATGTTACGAATGACCGGTTGTGGCCTGATATCACGCAGGCTCCGGGAAGAGGTAAGGGATGGATGGTATACGAGCCGTCCATCCCTTCCCTCTTGCTTGCCTTTTAAGGCGCAATAATTGAGATTTAAGTGGCAATGACAATTATTCTGTCTCAGAATCCTAGAAACGAACGCGCAACTTTCTCCAGGCATGTATATCATATTGGCTGTTTATTGTAAGGCATTTACTTAAAAAGAAAACTTTTTTTTTTACTTAAAAAGTAATATTTGAGAATTATAAAAGATTTTGTTTTGAAAATGAAGCACTGATATTGGTTTCCATTATGTCTATAATGCAATTCTTTGAATTTGGGCTTACAACAATGAAGACGCCTCTAAGTATTAGGGAACTCGAATGGATCTTATTCTTCCATCAAACCATTGAAATGTACAATATAATATTACTATTCTTTTCTACTTTAAGCACACCAGTGAAGTTTTGAAGTGTTTTTGCATTTGAATTAAAATATCTGAGAAGCTAAAAATCGGACCTATATATTGTAAGCAAGAAAAATGTTCAGAATTTTATCGTCTTTGTAATGAGCTATTAATCAAAATTGTATCTTAACGTGACATCTTGTTAGAGAGGTGAAAAGGGTAAAATAGTGTCGAAAACCAACTGATAACGAGTTTTATTGAAGACGTGGACTAAAATTTATTAGAAACTAAAAATCAGACAGTAAGCAAGAGAAATGTTTTTTTCTCTTTGCATTGAGCTATTATTCAAAACTTAACGCGACCCTGAGTTAGAGAGGCAAAATGGGTTTCAGTATTGTCTTATAGATAAGTGATTTGTTTTAAATAGAAAGTTTAGATTATCTGTTAAGTAGTCTGTATAGTTGGCCGTATCGTCGGTTCAGTTCTTGTCTTTTGAGTCGAGTATGTGAGTTCCTGAGAAAGGAAGCTGGATGGAATTAAAGTGCACTGGTGGACAGGAATTGCGTCGGAGTGTAAAGGTGACATATTGGCATTTGGATTCATTCACTTTAATAATCCAGTTATTACACCAGTGCTCAATCAAGGAGAGGTGCCTCTGCAGATTTGAGGATATTTCTATATTATTGTGGATTTGGATTTAATGTCATCAGCAAATACCGCAAGGAAGGTATGAACAGATATACCAGCGGTAAAGAGGATGTAAAGTATGGAACCCAAGACGCTGCCTTGGGGAACACCGGCTTTGACTGGATAGATATTAGAAAGTTCTAATCCACAGCGTATTCGAAATGATCGGAGGATTAGGTGCAAAAACTGAGGTAAATGAATGAAAATCAATCAGTCGTACCATGCCCGTTCAAATGCCTGTACTATGTCCAGAAATGCACCCGAACAGTGTTCCTTGTATTTTAGGGCTGATGAAATATGATCAACTACTCGGAGTCCTTGTTGTACAGTAGAATCCTGAGAGCGAAAACCTAACTGATGGGAAGGATGATTTTGGGATTCTTTAATGGGTAGGATTCATTTCAAAAGGACTTTTTCAAATATTTTTGAAAGAATTGAGAGTAGGCTAATTGGTCTTCAGGATGTCAACTGTTGGAAGGTTTGTTTGCTTTTGGGAAAATGATGACAGTGGAATGTTGCCATAACAGGAAAGTTGGTGGTACGCAGGATACAATGATAGATATATGTGAGGAATATGACTGCTCTGGATGGAAGTTGTCGAAGGATCTGAGGGTTAAGGAGATCATATCCAGGAGATTTACGAAGGATTAGTTTTTATATATTAGAGAGGTGTCTGGCGAACTCCTCAGTTTTATCTTCGTCAGATGCTGCCCAGAAGCCGTCATCTCGCCAGAGGGATTAGGAAACCTGGTGAGGTTTTAGTAATTTTCCAAAGGAAACTGTCACAAACAGAGAGGGAGGATAAATAGTAGTTATAGGATTCGGATCTATAGAAGGCTAATTCCCGCTTTAGGTCTTTGCAATAGTAATTATAGGAGTGGCGATCAGCTCGATATCTCGTACATCACCACAGTGATCTGGTACGTCGTTTCATATGGATTAGGTAAAGGAGGTGAAGTGGTAAATTGTTATTCATAGGAATTAGGGGGAGGCTAGTTCCAATCAGCTTGTTGAATTGAAGTAGTAAAGGAATTGACGGCATAGTCAAGATCATCGAGAGTTTTCAGGAGTATGTTGAGGTCTATTTTGTCAGAGTGGATTTGGCGGAAAAGGTTTCAGTTAACAGAGCCTCTAATAAATGCCGGTGGTAAATAATTAAAAGAAGCTTATTAATCTTTTCTAAAATTGACAAGTGTATACTCCGGTTGGAAAATAAAAAAGTCTTTTATAATCCATGGTTTTGAAACAATATCTAACAAAACTTTATATTTTTATTTTTAAAAAATTTGATCTACTGTACTAAGCTGCAATTGGTAACTACATTAATTAGATTTTTTTTTTACTTTCACTTACCTATATATGAAACATATAGTAACGGAAAGTATTGCGATCGTGATAAATTTCGAATCCGAGTTTTCAACTGAAATTCATGTTTTCAGGTCCCCTGAGTCCAAATAACCAAGTCTCACAAAATGGTATGTGTTTGTCTCTGTTTGGTTTTGTGTTTGTGTATGTGAACAATCAAGCCCAAAAACGAAAGGCCGTACAAAATTGAAATTGCATATTTAAGGTTATGTAATTATATGCTTATGAATATTACAGGTTAACAACTGTAAATTTTCGTCAAAATCGGCTTACTGGAAGTGCGTCTTTATATTTCACGAAAATGGCACTAACGACTTTGATTAAACTCGCTGTATCAATGTGAAATAAAATTGTATTTAATATCAGCAAGGTATTAAGTTCATTGAAATAATCTGACAGAGCTTAAATGCTGATTTTTTTTTTCCTCTAAAGTTTCTTTAATTTTGTGTATTTAATAAAGTTAACCAAATCACATTGTAACAAATAATAAAAAATGGTTCAATAAAACATTTTAAAAAATGTAGTTAAAGGAAAAATAATATAATGAAGGTTCGATAATTGCCGAAGAGACCCAAGCGTGTGCAACCGAAGAGAACCAAAGAGGTAATAAGGTTGGTGATGGGCTGAGAACTGCTAACCAACAAACCCGAGCACAACCTCAAGCATGGGGAAATGTTAAGAAAGTCTTCTAAACGAAACACATGCATAATATTACATGTCATAGATGAAGAACGTGCGGGTTCCGATAATAGTAAATACATCTACATATGCGGTTTTCATAAAAGCTAGGGCTGGTATTTTTTAATATTTAATGGTATAGATTACGGCAAGATAAAAATGAAAATTTCTATATATATCAGTGTTTAAACTAATACAATTTAAATGCCTACAATGAAATATAAATAAATATATTGGCCCCCTTTATAACTGCCACTATTTTCGGACTAAAAAAAATTCGTGGGACTTAATTATGTCTTATAATTAAATAAATACTTAAAATATATAATTTTATTGTTAATTATACCAATGTGTATGTATGTACTATACGTAGAAAAAAATGGTTATTGACAAAAAAAGCCTAAATTCAATAGATTATAAGAGTAGAAAAAACATATGTCAATTAACTGATTTAAATAATATGTTGTACCGTCTATAATTTTTACTTTCAGTTTCCTATCCACGATGTTCCTACCAGCTAAATATTTTAATAGTAGTATTACTTTGTAATCGAGCTATGATTACCTAGATGTTGTGCGACTATAGCATCAAAACAACCAACCAACCTAAGTATGAAAAGACCTACTTTTCCTCAAAGTAGGGTTGTAAGTGAAAATTATGAGAAGCACCCTCCATACCAAATTTTTAACTATCGCTTCCTGTTCAATAAAAATTTGACTGTCTAATAAATAAAGATGAAACAATTTATCAAATACAAGATTTAATTTTAAATCTTCCCTATTTGGAATTCGACCATAGGCCAAATGAAGGTTTAAGATAGATTTACATTCCACCCTATATAAATAGATGCATATTTTACCATTTGATTATTTCTCTGAATCAGTAACAAAGTATCGTTAAATTTATTCTACTATAATTAAACTTTTTTTTTCTTATTTCACAGCTTGCAAACGGAAAGACGAATCAACGATCCACTCCGACCATACGTCTGCTCCCAAGAAACCACGATTGGTTTTCACAGACCTGCAGCGACGTACCCTGCAGGCTATTTTTAAGGTAAGACTGACTAATTTTTAAATTAGTTAACTGCGTAGTTGAAAAAATCACTTTATTATAATAATAATAACATGATATTATTTTTTCCTTATATTGTTTACAATAATAAAGATTAAAAAATATTTATAATAAGCATGGATACCCATCTCCCCCAAGGTCGATGACGCATGAACCTACCCTCCCCCTCTCCCAAGATATTGTTTGCTCTTCTCTTCTTAAAAAAAAATAGAAGCAGAATTTAAAAAATCGTAGATCATATACAATTAAACTTGATGCGGTCCGTTCCATGTCCCTCCCTTGTTCCTTGGATTGAAACTTTTCATTCCAAAATACATAACTTCAAAACCCGCTCAAAATATGCCCCCTTCAAAGTTTTGAAGCCACAACTTGCGCCATGAAACTGCCTTCTAGGCACCCCTGATAATAAGTAATATTAAAAGTTGTAATGTGTACTGGAAAATAATAATTCTTTTATACTTTTTACAAGTCTTTAACTATTGGGCCGCCCAAATAATGTTTTTTTAGGGGGTTCCTTTTCCATTTAATAGGAAGTAGTCATAGTGAGTATAAAAACATTTTAATTACTCACCATTTCCTTTGGAATACCCAAAGAGTTTTCTCTTTGTAGAAGAAAAGTAGGATTTTCTTTTTCTTAAAAAGCTTAAAGGAATAATACTGAAACAAATAGATCAAGAAGGAACTAATAATTCCAGGAGAAATCAGGAAAGGAACGCACCAACGCACCATGGTCCAAAATGGAAAATATGTCACAAAATTTATTACTCCTGTAAAAATTAAGTTGCAAGAACCAAATTCGGTGTATGCATTAATATTACTACATTCAATTTCGAACATGCATAAGCTCTAAGAGTATGTCCGAAACTAATAGTACCTACCTTCAGTCAAAGTGACAATTCACTCCTATTGTATGATATCACTCATATGAGTGATGAAACATTTTTGAATTGATTTCTTTTAGAAAAGAAAAAATTATTAATTAACCTCTATAAAAAATAATTGTAAATATATCGTATTTAGAACTTACCTGAAGTTAAAATTAATCTAAACCAATAGAATTTTTTTAAATACATAATGTAGCAAGAAAGTGATAAGAGAAGAAAACCCTCAAGACTCTTACTGGAAAAACATAATGAAATTTATTAATAAATGGATTATTAATATTTTTTTCGCAAAGATTAAAAAAAAAAATTTTTTTAGACACTGATATTGATAAATAAATATTTTAAAAATTCATAACTTTTTATTTTATTTATTTTAGTTATAATTTTATTTAGTTAGAGATTATTGATATGATGGAAGATATATTCTCTTAAATTATTTATGGTGTTACCTTAATATCTAGCCTCATGGTAATAATAAATGTAATATGATAAATATCATGTTATCATTTTTCCTATTGAGATGTTTTAAAAATCCAAAAATTAAATTTATTTTCTATGTTTTGATACTTATTAATGCAATTAATAAATATACACTACTAATTATTAATGCAGTTAATTTTTAAATATAAAATATTTTTTTGTTTTTTGTTTTTAGGAAACCAAACGTCCTTCGAAGGAAATGCAAGTTACAATAGCTCGACAATTAGGTCTTGAACCAACCACTGTTGGAAACTTTTTTATGAATGCAAGAAGACGTTCAATGGACAAGTGGAAAGATGAGACCGAAACTAAGCCAACTGGCAGTCATCAGTCTCCTAGTGACAGTATCGTGCAACAAGACCTCTTGTGACATACTTCTTACCCCGTACAACATCTCGTCTTTCTATGAGCTTACAAGGATAAGTGTCTTCTTTGCACAGACTTGCAGACTTTGGGTACACTATTTCTCATATATGATCTGCACAGTTCTTATATACTGAAATAGTAGACATTGCATGATAAGAATTGCAAAGCAAGAGATTTAGGGGATAAATTTCGGAATCCGTCCACTGGGTAAAGAACCCAACATTTTTACTGATAATAATGTTGTAACTCATAGCACTATACTTTAAATCACAAATGTCACTTTACACAATCAAAGAGTGTTTACAAGATATTACTTAGATCCACTTCATTACTATGAAATGGATTATATTATATTAGAATAAAACTTTAGTCTAAATTTATTCATTAACCATTTTTTAGAAAATTTTCATTGACCTTAAAAATGAAAACAGGTTATATTAATAAAAATATAGATTTCAAGACATTAATAATCCATAGGAGATATAATTTAAAGTTATTCAGTGCATCATCTTAAAAGTTACGGCAAAAAGGACATGTATGATAGGACATGATAAACAGTTGTTTATATATGAGCTATATTAACATGAATGGCATTTTTGGTATACAATTACTAAAATCCGTGTAGGTTTATACGAATGAGAAGTGTTACACTCTAAGCATTAAGAGAACTGTGTAAGATTGTGTAAGGGATATAGAGGTGCCTTGCATTGAGACAATAGAGCCCGAAAAGGGAATATATTTGTATTGAAGCTTTAATATTCCATTGCTAATGTTCAAAAAGTGTTGTAACACTGTGTAAAAAAAAAAGTTTTAAAAATTGATTGGGCCAAAAATTAACTAGGAACATGCATTGATATAATTTATTCTTCCTTTACTGATAGATAATAAAACATTTGACAGTTAGGAACTCTCCTAACTATAATTTATAAAATTTAACAAAATGACTTCTAAAAATACAATGTGTGTTTCTAAATTATATTTTTAATATATAAACATTAAATGAAATTGTAAGAAGTTATAAAGTTGGCATGCTTCTTTTAATAAAGTATATAATCTAATTATTGCTGGAAGTTGAAAAATATCCAGTTTTTATGGAGGCATTGACAACTTCATACAGAGGCTCAAAAATTGATCAAATATCATTCTGCATCTTCAAATTATTATTTAGATTTGATTATATACTTGAAGGAACATAATAAAATTGTTTACAATTTTAAAACATGGTTGGTTGTATTGTTAACAGTAGTATAAATAATCTAAATGCAACCAATGTATGCGCCTGAAATGGTGCAGAAGCTTTGGGGGCCTTATTTTCTTTTGGTTGAAATGTCCATGCATTCATAGATGAAAATGAACTGATGAAAAATGCATTCAACATAATGAAAAAAAAAATTGTCTTTTAAGTATTAATTACTTATTTATATTAAACACAATAATGCTAATACTCCGATTGTTAAGAGCGACTTTGTAAAATGTTGCTTGGTTAAATAGTACCTAAACAATAAATTTAAAATATTTATTTTTTCATGAAAGGGAAGGGGTGCATAGGAAAAACGTTAGCATTGGGGCACAGTCCTCCTTGGTTGTATCAGTGATTGTTAAGGGTCAAAATATATTTCAAAATTTTCATGGTGCATGTCTATTTATAAAATCAACCCAAATATATTATGCATTAATTAATTTAATATTACATAAATAGCAAGATGAATATAAGAAAATAAATATTAAATTCATGAATAAAGCAATGTATAATGTTAATAGTCAGAATCACATTAGTAAATTTTCTGCTTTGAACAATTAAACAAAGTAAAAAAAAAAAAAAAACTGTCCTACAGTTTTAGTGGAGCAGATTCTCTTTTTTTCCCCTGGAATCTATAGATAAGTTTTTATGTATCATTATTTGGCATAAATATACCTTATTATAAAATATACATTACCATAAAATATATTTTATATATATATATATATATATATAATAATAATAAAATATATATAATATATTATGTATTATCACAGTCTAAATTCCCTCTAAATACTATAAACCTTGGAGTAGCAGGACCGGAAATAGAATATTTGTTGGGGTGTGAAGTGAAGAACATAATATCACCTATAGCTATTAAATTTAATAATTTTCATTATTTCGTCTGAATTGTATACTACTTAATAAAGTAGTTTCAAAATGCAATAATTATTAAATGTTTAGTTATTGAATTCAATTTAAATAAGAACATTTTAAAATTGATATGTTATAATAATAATTATTTTCCAAAAGTTTTTAAGTGTTTACCTTTGTATTTCAATGTCTATTCACAATTAAGTGTATGCCTCAAAGGTCAGTATAATAAAAATAAAAATTATCAAAGTTAATTTAGATTTTTATTATACTGACATTTGAGGCATACACATAAGTGTGAATAAACAATAATTATTTACGGAATAGTTACTAATATTTAAATACTATTCTAATAAAAGATTATAGTAATATCCGTGAATATTATGAAATAATATAAATTATTCAAAATGATAAACAATTTTTTTTCTGAAACAAAAATACAAAACAAGCATTTCTAAAACATTTATAAAAATAACCAGTTTAATAACAACCAAATAAAGAAAATCACAAATTCAAAGAAAAAAAAAAATACAACGTAATAAGGCATTAGGGGGACAAGTATACTTCAACTGTCTATAAAAGTTATGGGAGACTAAAGTGGGGAAGGCTTTGATAAAATCCAGTCATAGATGGGAAAACATGAGACAGCTATCAGGATTTTTCCAATTCCCAATTTGCCATTTCCTTGTAAATTCTCTCTGAAAAAGGGTGCCAACTGTAATACTATTGGAATGGGTCTTTTGTCAAGCCAGAAGAGTATGTGGCTCATTGGGAATTTTTTCAGCCATTTCATTACCCTTTAATATCATGCCATATAATAATATACTTTTATTATTCACTTAATCAATTTAGTCTGGACATCTATTTTCATGTTATTTAATGAACTACATGGATTCTACACAAACAGGTTACATTGTTCTTAAAAATGAGAGAAAATATAACAAAAAGGAGAATAATATTATTCATAAGTCAAGCTTTAAAAACATACAACTACTTTTTTTTTAAATTTATTTATTGATGATATTTACAACTGTATTACAAGTAAAAATACTACAACTACTTGAATTTCAAAGACAAAATTATAATTATCTTACAGTTTTTTAATGAATATAATGTTTAAAAAACTAGTTATCTAAATGACCTGGTAAACTGCGAACAAGAAGTGATATATACATGCTGTATGTAACATGTTTTAGGAATATAAATTTTTTAATCAAGTTTCTTTGATTATAGGAAATGTAATAATAATGCCAACCATGGTGTATGAACACAATTTTTATAATAATTTAGGAATGAATGATGGTAATATTTGATCAATTTCATGAAAAATTGGATATGAAATATCTGTTATGTGATTGAATATTCCTGGGAGACCTTCTGATTTTTATTTATTTACTTTATATAAATATAACATCATTGTTAATTTATACATATATATATATATATATATATATATATATATATATATATATATATATATATATATATATATAATGGATTTAGTTGTATTTATTAACTTTTTGTGAGATTTTTGTTACTTCAAATATTAGTACCATGTAAATACACTTTGTCTTTATACACTAAGATAATATGAGAAAGGGGCCATTCGGTTACTAATGTTAAGGAAGTTAAAATGAATTTTATAAACTAATATTTTATTTATTCAATTATTTATTTATAATGTTTTTTTAAATTAATTTATTGTAATATATTTTTAATATATGCATACATCTTTTTAAAAATGTATGGGTGTATGCATATGTATTGTTTTACCAAATGAAATGTGGCAATATTTATAATGTACTGTATATTTTATATTTAAGGAAACTAAATCACATCACATCAAAAGATAAATAATTTGATATAATGACATCAAATTAAATAATAAATAATAATTTTTTTGTTGATTCGGGCTATTTTTGTAAAAGCTGATTCATAATAAAATCTAAAGATTTCTCTTGTAAAATTATAAAAATTGATGAAATCAATATATAATATAAGAGAATTATCATCTGAGAAAGGAAAATTGTATGTTTTATCAAATACAATTTACAAGTAGTTGCATACTACATTTAAAAGCATTTTGATCAACTAATGAAGAGCATACATACACTCCAAACAATAAAATAAATCACCATTTCTATTGTTAACAGTTCATAAGTGGCCCTTTCATTTTCATGATACACAAAATGCTTATAACAATGGATGAAGTATGCTTCGTTATCTTTAAAGATTGTGATTTAAAAAGAAAATAAGTTAAATACCAAAATACATTCCTTTTGTTAACGATTTCTAGTCAGAAAGATGTTTGAAATGGTTCTAGTCATTTCTTAAAAGTTAGTCATTGTGAGTATTAAACTAAATTCTAGTCAAAAGTTTATTAATTTATACTAAAGTAAAACCTTTTTTATAAAGTTAACATGTGCCTAACTTATTCCTATTATCAGGATAGGAAGAAAAATTGCTAGTAGAACTTTATATTTTACATGTGTTTAACCATTTATATGTTTGTTATTTAAGAGATAATGTTCCATAAAACATATATACTAAAAAAGCATCTATTATTTATCATTTCATGAGCTACAGAGTAAATTATACTCAATCAAGGGATAATTTATAATCTCGTGGTAAAAAGTTATTCCTTAAAAGTATATGAAAAGAGTAAAATGGTCATTAAAGTCTTTGAGGTGACAGGCTTATAAAAGTACGCTTATTCAGAAATAAATACCAACACAGTTTTGTTAATAAAAGAGTATAGTAATATTAGGAAAATAATGTTACATATTATTATAATGAGACTTAGAGATGATAAATAGTTAAAATATATTTAATTTATTTTAAGCATAAATGACCAATGTGCTTGTTTTCCAAAGGGCTAAATATTAATTATTGATACTTATAATACATTTCCAAATAAGGACCTTGTTTAAATAAATATTAATGTCATATAAATTATTTCAATATAGGCACATACTCTTAAGAACAATAAATTGTACATATAGCTGAACCATTTGTCTGACATAAAGAGGTAGATTGATTTTAGAATTTAATACCACAATTCAAGTCACATTTTTAATTCATTGTCCTTATTTATTAATAGAAAGCAAACACACACATATATATAATCTCAAAAATGTTTTAAAACTTATTAATTTTTTTAAAATGTAATAAATACAAAGACATTCGGGTGC